ATACGGCTGACTTACGAGCGGACACGGCCGAACACGAAAACCTACTCGGCCGAGGAATGCGCCCCCGACAGGACCTAACGAATTAGCTTGCTCCAAACTTTTCCGAGGACGATTTATTTTTCTAATTTTTATAATCATTCATTAGGAACGCTCCCGGCTTTTTTGTTTTGTTTTATTGGCACCGCTGTTAGGGCACTAAGGATGAATTATTTGCTTGCAGGTTTTCCTTCTGTAAGAACGTTGCAAACTCTCTAAGGTCTCATTGCATCATCATATTTAACTTAATAAGTCTTTAATCTTTATTATTATAGCAAACTCTGAGGAGCTTTAGTCTGTTCTCTTTTTCAGGGTTAAGAAGTTCCTGAAATTCATCTTCTTTCTGTTTGCTTTAATGTTGGTATTTTACTGTTCGTTCGTTCGTTCGTTTCAGCCGAAAGACGTCCACTGCTGGACAAAGGTCTCCCCCAATTTTACTGTAAGTACCTTTTACCTGAGTACTTTTTTTTTCAAAGACGTGTTTATAATCTACTTTCGCCGTTGTATAAGATAAGGTTCAATCTTCCCAACTAATAAAATAAATCTAATCAAAAGACGTTTTACTAAACAAAACACTGATTTGCATAACATTTCAAAACAACACTGAGATCCGGGGTCTATTTGTTGACAACATGAAGAACATTGGACCCGAGACGTCAAATGCAGAAACGCATAGGTCACGACAAGGGCGAGGGTTGCCGCTGCTAACCCTTCGGTGGCGACGGTGACGTCGGGGCAGTTCCGCTACACCACAGCCCGTTTAGAACGGCCAACAATTTTCGAATGTAAAGTTGTACCTACCTATTGACTCTTTTAATAACAAATTAAGTATGTAGGTATGTTATATGTTACAAATTGGAGCTTATGGTACTTATACCGTTGCCTGGTATATTATGGCGTGTATTTCTGGTATGGTATGATATTTAAGTCTGAATAATTTTACTACTAAACGTTTTATTTCCAAAAGAAAAGGAATTGCAATAGCAATAGCTGTTATGTATGTTATATGTCGAATAATATCTCTAAAACAGCTCTTACTCTTGCTACCGCGGTAGCAGAATGAAGAGTGAAGAACTATAATTTATCTTGTTTTTTAAGAACCTACTTTGCTTAGATTAGAGTAAGAGAACCCTACAGTTTTTCTAAAAAATTTATGGGTAATATAAAAATACAGGTGTGCTACGTAGACTACGAGTTGGCTGTTTTCTCCGCGATGCTACGGCTCGGCGGGCGACAGGCGGGGGTTGTCGCCGCGCTGCGCCCGCGCCGCGTCTCCGCCACTTCGAATTAATGACGGCTTGACGCCTCGCCGACAGCGGCACGCCTACGCCTATTCTACGCGACCTTTCCTCTTTTTGCCCCCACCCCGCTGGCCAGTCACAGATAAGAAGTGGGCATTTAAAAATAAATTTGTCGAAAGTGATAAATGATGGATATAACTTTTATTATTTCAAATTAAATTAACGATCCGAACGGAACGTCTACCTTTTCTCACATTAGAGGGATCTTATCTGGAATGATTGCTTCCATTACCTTAGAGAACGGACACGTTGTTTTGTAAGGGAAGATAAAGAGATTAATGCGTAAAGCAATTAATTTTGATTGAGGTGTGTTTTATTAAGTAATTGTTTTTGTTCCCAATGTGGATTAGTGACGCATTGTGGACTTTTGATGTGACTTTGGTTTATTTTTGGCAGTCTTTTTATGGGGATTTGCATTATCTAGATGGCAAATTAGGTGCCTCAAAATAACCGTGATGAGTGGAATTGCCTGCAGCAACAAGATGCATAAAAAATGTAGAGTCGGTAATTTTCTCGTCTAACGTGTAAGATCATAGATATTTGAAATAAGCTACCCTTTATTTAAATTTGTGTGCAACGAAAATTGCAGTGATATTGGCGAACTATCGGAAATTACCGTCTATAAACTTACAAGCTTACAAACTTTGCCTCTTAATAAATTTTGTGTGGTTTCGTGTAGACGGTTTTTAATGGTCAAACTTTGTACATTTCAAAGTTTATGACTTTTATACGGCTATTTTGCAAGCATAAATCCCAGTCAACAGTACCTTCGATAATAACATTAGAATATTGTGGTCACAGCAGATATTTATGGGTATCCGAAATGTTTGGCGTGTGTAGAGTTCCCACAGCGCTTTAATACATTTTCCATGTTCCAGTTAGCGCCTCATAAATTGATTAGGGGACCACTTTGGTTCAGTTTTTGTGTACCTCACAGGTATCAGCGCCGGGGGTTAAGATAAAATGTTTAGTTCTAACTAATAATCTTCAGATAAATCGATTGGTATTATACGTTTTTAAATCTTAGTTATTATCAGTTTAAAACTAAAAATACCTATTAAATGGTTGTCGTTTAAGATACCATGAATTATGTTGGGTCCTATAGCATAAACGTTATTATCTTAGGGTACGTTTGAACCATTTAAAATTTTTGTGGAGCCTTTATTTTATTTTAGATTTATAAAAATAAACTATTTGATATAATTTATATTTACAAAAGTGTAGAACCTCTTCTTATCTATTTTATACATAGCACCAATAAACTAGTATATATTTACCGATTTCATTGTGATGAAAGGGTTATGGAAGTAGTGGAAAAACCAAAGCGTAAGGAATTTGGAAAGGCACTGGTATTTGCGAATGCAAATTAATGTCAGGAACTTAAATGTATCCTGTTACAAACATACCTAACAATACATTTAAAAATATATTTTACACGTACAAGTAACTAGTTTCAATGAACTAAATCGAATCTCTTTTCGTGTTCATTTACTTAAGAATGTATATTAATAAGTTTGGTACCATATAAATTATTTATCTTGATTTTTCCGACACATTTGACTAATGAAGCCGCCATGTTGCTTTTGCTTCCCTTTCGCGCCTAAATCGGCGTAATGGAGTGAACTAATTTCCTATAGGAAATTGCTTCGGCGTAAGAGTGCGATTTCCCTAAAAGCCTCCGTTACCAGTCACCCGAACAACATCAATCATGGCTTCCAAACGATGTAAAATATTTTCATAACAATAGATGACATCGATTTCATAGGAAAACCATGGGTCGGCCGATGACGTGTTATTATTTAATCGTGAGGAGTATTTTACTCATTGTTATTTAAAATATTCAATCGTATGCAGTTTAACATAAACATATGCATGTTTATTTGTGACTGCCGTATAAAATAAGTATGTTTGGGTCTTATGTGTCTGTCAGAGAGGAGCTTAATCCTAATATAACATTAGGTAAGGTTCTCCAATCAAATACGCGAAATTATTGCAAACGGAGTTTTAAAGCAATGTCGTCCAGCAATTTAGCGGCAGTTTGGGTAGGTTCGAATAAAAAGCGCGAGGTGACAATATAAATAACAATTTGGCCCACCCCGTTCGAATGTGGTGCGTGGATTAGCATAAGAATGCCGCATCATGGACGCCCACGGGCCTACACTGTACCTCGTTGTCTCTTTATACGTCGAATTTAATTTTGATTTACGACTATCCACACAATTGTACGCAAAACATTCCTTCCCTCGGCCCGGCTGTACGCAACACCAAGAAAAGTCACTCGAAATATTAGCGACTATTTTACCTACCAACTTTATATCCAAGAATTCACACCCGACTTCGCAATAAAATTTAAATCCTTATTTATTAAGGTACCTCGACGCGATCGTTTCTAAATAAAATCCACTTTAAAAATTAAAAGGCCTTTAAAACACCCAATAACTTAATTAATAAAGGCAAGGGACCACGGTCATAATTCTCAAACGACATTCGGGTCGCCACAAAGAGCTTCCTAAGATTCTTTTATGCAAATATTGGTAAAAATACCCCGTCTCGGAGGAATTATTAATTGAGGGTTTGCTCGCTTTTGACACATTCGTGCATTAAAGTGATGTATGGAGAGAATCAAGTCGCCTAATTATTTTAATCAGCTCATAAATTTTAATATTTTTATGCAATTAATTTTAATTATGCTCTTAAAAATATTCGCTTTTACTTCTTCAACACATCGGGGCCAGATCATAAATAAAGTAGGACGTTAAATTTATGGTCTTTTGCAAAATAAATAATTATGACAAGTATCTAGAAACACGTCTAATTGTATTATGGGTGCAATACCTAGGTTGGAAGTCAATTAAAACAGACCAGTTACCTATACTTACCTATAATATAAATTGTCGCAAACTATGGACACCTAGTATAATTTGATTATTAAATGATTGATCCTTATCATCCATCCTTAGCATCCTTATGCTCTAACAAATGTGTGTTACTTAGAGAGTTCACACTGTACTTTGTAGAGTCACAGAACATAAAAACACTTAGTTTAATCAATTAATCAGTATAAAAATTAATGTAAGAAATCCTCATTCAAACTGAGGCTTAGAGGACTTACATAAATAATTATTTTCCAAATATGACTCGTTATCTAAATCAAGTTTTATATACAATGATCCCAATCAAATAAAATAAGTAATAAACGACCGTGCTCAGTGTTAATACGCATTTAAGATAATATATTTTACCACACAAAAATAAAATGTCCACCTAATAAATCGTGCCGGACCTTATCGTTTCACGAGACGGGACAGTAAGGACCAGATAAGGATGTGGGTCCCTTCGAAATTGGAGTAACGCGTGCGTTTGCGTTCAGGTTTCCTTAAGTTAGTGTAAGGTAAACGTATTTTAGATTGTGGTTTGGCTTAGTGACTTTTGTGTTTGGAAACGCGCGCGAGTCGAGCGTAATCGGCGTTGCATCTTAATTTAGTTGTCTTGTATTGTGGGAGGCGGGCGGCGCTGTGGGACATAACCTAACCCACTGCGATGGCAAAGGCCGCCGTGCCCGACTGACGCATATATCGCCATATTTATTGGACGTGGCCGTAAACTATTTACGACCTTCATTTGAGTTCGAGAGTAGTCAAAATAAGTTATGGTAGTACTCACCACATTCACGAACTCCTGAAACGTTATGGCGTTGCTCGATGCACTCTGCGCTTTGTCCAGAAGAATCTACAGAAGAGAGAAAATAAAGGCATTAAGTAACTAGGTTTTTTTCGTTGCAATAAACATTAAACCATTTCAGTTGATTGAAGCATACTCTGAAACCAGAGTTGTGATATCAGTTGTGATATCCTACAACTATCGCGACAGTAGCGGATCATTCGAGCTTTTAAAATGTTTAAAAAAAAAGAACTCTACATCTTTGTTTGTCCTACAAAATCATAAAAACTTAGTTATTACTCTTTATACTAACCTCCCTTTTATGCGGCGGCACCTGAGCAATGAAGTCTGGATGTTGGAGCGTCTGCAAGAAGTCGGGCCACGGGATCTCTCCAAACCCCTCCGGATCAAACTGCCAACAAAACGTCACGTGCCACATCGATTAGATTTCAACGGAGCGTCCTAACGTCATAACCACGCACCTTCATACTTCACACATGTGTTTCATATTTACAGCATTTCTCCAAAAAGACAGCTCAAAAAATCAAGCGCCCCTATCTTGTTCCTCGCATTATCTCAATGTCCTGTACGTGACGACTCTACGTTTGATCCGCAGCGCCACCGACGGTTTTTATCTGCTTTTAAAACATTTTATATCCCGCTTCTGTACATTTTAATCAGTCCAAACAAAGGTTATTCTTTGAAATTTGTCTCCCCATCGTAAACGACAGGTTTTATGAAATATGCGTGTTCAACACGCAGGTTTATAGCGAAAGTCGCTAAGTTTACGAGCGTTTAAAATAATGGTGCCGTTACCAGTCAATTTCATGACTGTTAATCTTTCAAAATTAAATATGAAACGTTTTTATTACTACTGTTTGGGCGTTAAATTATTATTTATATTACCTATTTGACCTCTAGTTTTTCTTTATGCGCACTGAATACGTGTAAAAATCTCTATTTTGTATTTTTGTAGATATTGACGACAATTTTAGTGCAACTCATTAAAATAAAATTGTACTTTATTTATTTTGAAGCCTTTGAAATCAGGTTCGCATTTACTGAAAATTAAAAAGGCCAAACGAGACTTATGTCATAGGAATTCGAAAGTAATTTAGTAACTACAAAGTATGTTCAGAGAAAGTAAGTAGGTACCTACTGCACTTAAAATGCATTTTGTTTCATTTTATTTTGTTTGATATTTTAAAACGCAACCCTAGCTCTAGTCTATGAACACAGCCGCTCCATTTTCCGTACAGTCAAACGTGGGTTACGCAAATTAGGAACATTTGAACCACCACGTACTTCGTCGAAAATCGCTTTCATGCTTCCAACTTCCAGGAATAATATTGATTTCAGAAACATTTGTTATGCTTCGATCTGTGCGTGACTGATAGCGATTTGTAACGTACGTACAAAGCTTTTGGTTCACAGAAACAAGCATTACATTGCAATTGTCTGACCTATTTCCACGAATATCATTTTTCTTTTTCAGTTTGGCAATATACGGAAATGTTATTCATGTTTTACTACCATGAAAATATTTGGAAATAGTACTGGATGTAATAAGCCGGAAGTTTAGATCTTATTTAAAGTTATTTGGGACGTGTAAATACCCTGAAAAGGGCCTACATTAAGTACTAATGAATAATTTTTATTTGAATTATTTAAGACTTTTATTGGGGTTTCGACCAGCTTATCTTAAATTTCGATTAACGTCGGCTCGTGGTTCAGATGAAATAACAGGTAGCAAAATAAAATAAAGATATTTCACGCGATATCATCGGGACGTGTTACAAAAATTTATATTTCACACCAAAAGTCACGTAGTGTGGCGAAACGATATTTTTATATCTGATGCTTAATCCATTAAGATGTCACTGTATGAATAATGATTAAAGAAATTCAACTTACCCTATCGAAGAGGAGACGCCATTTCTGAAAACAAACAACATTTATGAAATAAGTAATTGTAACTAAGTAAGAATGCTCTTATACTCGTAAACAATATTAAACTTTTTCAGGCAATGTTTGAGCTTTATTATAGAACTCTGTATTCAGGTAAAAGTCTAAACTTTGCTTTCAAACAAGTTTCAGTTGTTGTTTGGAGTACTTTAGTTGATATACTTATGTCCAATAAAATAGGAATAAGAAAAATAGGACAGGCCAAGATCGATCAAACTATAGCATCCAATAATAGAATGAATACCGAAGGAATTGCATCAGCTACTCACATCGTGCATCAACTCCCGCCTGATATCCGCCTCATCCAACTCCGAGCCGAGGTCTGTGTGGTCTGTATCATACAGCGGCTCTGCTGCTCTGGACAGTGACCCCAGCGAGTCCCGGGCGGACGCCAGGGATCCCGTGACAGTCGGCAGGACCCCTGCCTCGATCCCGGACTCCATAGACGTATTGGTTGACATGAGAGTGGCGGTGGCGGCCGGAGGCGGGCGCACCTCGCCGCCTCCGCAGCCACTGCCCACCCACACCGACATCTTTCTAACAAAACCATCCACTCTATTGCTAATTAATTCGGCTGTACAACATAGCTTCCTTTGCCCGTTAATATTTTAAACTTTGAAACGTCAACGCTTTATAATCTGTATCTTCTATCTTCTCTCTGCTCCTTTGAAAGCTCACGTTGTTTACAAAATGCGTTGCTCTTGAAAATTGAGAAGAATTGGACTTATTCTTTGGACGACGTGATTTTTAAAAGTTTCGACGCAATGAGTTGAGCTGGACAGAGTGCTTAATTTATTTAATAACAAGAATATACAAGAGAAACGGAGGAAGATCATAAGGCACGTATTTATTTATCTTGGCTTGTGTACGGTGTACCTGAAACCAAATAATAAATCCGTTAGAGACAGATTTTATAAAAAGTCTAAGGACCTGCTCTAAATTCGAAAATAAATTGGGAATAGAAAAATAAGATATTATTGCAATAGTGATGGGAAAGAAAAGTAATGGGGTTAAAAATAATGACGCCGTTTCGTTAACTAGTACCTAATCAAGTAGTTTATGACCGAGGTCAAGTAAAGTAGTACAAATACCTATATCTACCACTATAGAAATGTTTAAATTTGGCCTACACCACAGAATAAGTACAAATGGACTTTAGTAATAATTGGTCTACTTTACAATATTTAAAGTTGTAGGTACCTACTCACGCAAATATGAATATCCGTAATAATTACGTTAATAGTTTCTACATAAATAATGTAGTCATAGTTTACCCTAAGTACCGTAACCCTTTCCTAATTTGTTTGAAAGCGACCTTGAGACATGTCGTGAGTGTCGTGACATTAATTTATTTAAAATATCCTTGGCAGTGGTCCCCAATGGAATAAAATAAAGAGACCCTCTTATATTTGGAGGTAGAAGGTCATCTATTGTTTATTAATTGCCCAAACCATCGCTTAATGCGTCTAAATAATCCTATACAAATGGTAATTGATCTAAAAACATTAGTCGTAGATTATTGCGTACATACAAATCACCTTTAAAATTCTACAGTACCTGATTAAGACTACTTGATGCCCTAAGCAATCCACACCTGTGAGGCTGTGACTGTGAGCCCATAACGATAGCTGAACGGTGAAGGTGTCGGACTTGCCGACTCGTAATCTGAGGAACGCGAGTTCGATCCCCGCCGCCGATCAACTATTGTGGTGAACCCACTCGTAACAAGCATATTTAGCTTACCACGAGGGGTTAACGGTTATTAAACAAAGCTTTCTTTTACTTTAATACCAAAAGTGTAGAAAATACACTTTACTATACCAGAACGAAATCAAGCTTCATTCACGATTTTATTATTGATTCCTACTGGACTGTACTGCAAGCAATACAATTTGTAAATTTCCCTCAATACACGTTAAAATGCCACCTTTGTAAATAAAAATAATTTATAGACGAATCGAGGTTCGGTAAACAACCGATAGGCGATCTGCTGAGGGAGAAAACGTGGCTAAGCGGAGGGCCGCAACCCTCTCTTGGTTGCCATGGAGACGGGCAGTTTTATGCACCACTTAGCACGAACTAACTCGGGCTGGCACGTGGTGGAGTGTTTGATCTTATTAGGCGGCATGGCAGACTTTTTTAAATCTAGATTTCATGTAGGTCTAGTATACAATGGTACCTTGGTGGCCGGTATAATTCACAAAGGGTTGACTTATAGGATTTTCATTCTCTTTTGATTCCCAAAACGGAAATAATTATTTTTTCAATTGCTAAAATCTTCATTTCCCTTGAAGAACTTTGGAAAATTACCAGTTACCTATTAAAGTAAGAAGTTCAGTATTTTTTTGGTCCTGAACTTGCAATTTTAATGCTCTCCTTCATTCAATATTCTATTGGTTATTATTTTATAGAGACGATAAAAGACTGTCGCTCTATTATATTAATAAAATAATGCCATTTCAGAACTACCTTTAATTCATACCTATTTATTCAGCAATTTAAACTAAGTTTTGTATTATTATAATAAATTGAAGTCACTGTTATGTAACCTACTTAAAAATTTATTTATAAAAGACATTAATCTAGCTAATTTACACAATCAAAAGCTCTTTTGTTTTCGAATACCTCTTGTTTACATTACAAAGGAGTCAATGGCAACAAACCCCAGTTCAATTTATTTCAACAACACTTACCAATAACAAATTGCTCTAATCGTGCGTGCACTTCACTAGGTATCATAAAGGGACTTTCACACCGGACTTCATTTCCGAAATATTGTGCATTTCGTGTCAAGAACACATTAGGCTTAGGCCGAAATGAGATGGACATTTATTTATACGTCAAAACACGCCGTGTTGCGGTGAAAGTGAGAACGGCGTCAAGCCTTCAGCGCATGCGTGAAATTCAAGAGGGTGGCTGCATGAAATAATTAATGAGGACCCTTTTTAGCTATCCTATCTCCTCACGTAAACAACGAGCAGGGCCGGATTAACCATCTCGGGGCCCCTAGGCACAGCTCGTTTCGGGCCCCCCTTTTTTTGTCGCGGAGGAAATGCTTTGCCCACCGTCACCACTGCCAGGGGACAGAGTGGTGTGTGGCCCACACACCACTCTGTCCCCTGGCAGTGGTGACGGTGGGGGACACACAGTGTGGGACTCCCGGCGCCCTAATAAGGGCGCTGCTCCGTCCTGAAGAGGACGGGGTATACCCACTAAAACCTCCGCGGCGTTCCGTCATCGCCCAAGTGGGGGTATCGCGAGTATCAGGCCGTAGCCTTAGACTTCCGCGACACCACCGGCGACAGCTCGCCTACGGCGGACCCTACACACCCCCCTTGTGGGGGTCCGACGGGAATGGCCCGAAACGCCAAGCTGTTCCCGTCAGACTTAGGTAACAAGGGTGCCCCCTCACCCCCCGCCCTGTTGGCTGCCACCTGGGGGCTGAGTAGAACGGTCGTGCAACCGCCTTCTCCACCCCTTCTCGGCCTGCGGAGCGATGAGGCGAGAGGATCGTTCTCCCGCTCCCGCTCCGCTGCCTCCTTCTGAAGGATGACCTCTTCGCAAAAGAAGGCGACCACCATCCAGCATCCTTCACTTCCCAGCATGGCGTTGACCAGGCTCGGAAGCTAAAGATCCCGGCCCACGACCGCAGTGAGGACATGGCGCTGCTCCTCCCAGCCTGTGCAGACCGCGAGGGTGTGCTGCACCGTGTCATCAGCCGCGCCGCATTTGTGGTACAGCGGGGATTCCTCTCGCCCGATCCTATGCAGATACGAACCGAAGCAGCCATGCCCGGTCAGCACCTGCGCCAGACGGAGCGTGAGGAACCCGTGCATTCGTTCCAACCATTGGTCCAGAACAGGACCAATGGCGTCCAGAGTGCGGCAGCCAAACTGCGCGCGAGTCATGTCTTCCTTCCAGCGGTCGATCATGATCTCGCGCTCTTCCTGCCTGACGGCACCGTGCCGCTCCGGGGCCGGGCGCTTTCCACGCGCCTTCTGGTCTGCCATTCAGTGATAGATGACCGACAAGACCCCAGCTTCTAGCTCCCAAGGAGGAGTACCAGCGAGGACGCAAGCCACAGCGTGCCGTGCGCGTCCTTGCGACTTTCTGCATTATGGCCCGCTGGGGCCTGCGCAGAACGGCAGCATTATTCCTCTTGTTGAGTGCGTCCGCCCAGATTGGGGCGCCATACAGCACCATGCTCTTCAGAACGCCAGCATAAAGTCGACGACACCTCGTTTGTGGCCCTCTCAAATTCAGGAGGGGCCAACTCAGTGCGCCAGCTGCCTTGAGGAGGCGTGGCGCTAGCCAGTTGAAGTGTGGGCTAAAATGCCACCTCCCGTCAAGCGTGAGGCCCAGATATTTCATCTGGCCTTTGACGTCAATCCTAAAGTCCTTAACCACAATGTGGGCGTCGGGAGGGGTGCGCTCTTCCTGCCTGACGGCACCGTGCCGCTCCGGGGCCGGGCGCTTTCCACGCGCCTTCTGGTCTGCCATTCAGTGATAGATGACCGACAAGACCCCAGCTTCTAGCTCCCAAGGAGGAGTACCAGCGAGGACGCAAGCCACAGCGTGCCGTGCGCGTCCTTGCGACTTTCTGCATTATGGCCCGCTGGGGCCTGCGCAGAACGGCAGCATTATTCCTCTTATTGAGTGCGTCCGCCCAGATTGGGGCGCCATACAGCACCATGCTCTTCAGAACGCCAGCATAAAGTCGACGACACCTCGTTTGTGGCCCTCTCAAATTCAGGAGGGGCCAACTCAGTGCGCCAGCTGCCTTGAGGAGGCGTGGCGCTAGCCAGTTGAAGTGTGGGCTAAAATGCCACCTCCCGTCAAGCGTGAGGCCCAGATATTTCATCTGGCCTTTGACGTCAATCCTAAAGTCCTTAACCACAATGTGGGCGTCGGGAGGGGTGCGCTGGCGAGGCCCCGGTAAGAACAGGGCCTAAGTCTTCTCCAGCGCGACTTTCAGGCCGAGGCGTCGTATTCTGCGACCGACTAATGTGCCGCCCGCCGACGCCAGCCGTGCCGCGGCCCCAAATGTCTTCCCCCGGGCAGTGACCAGAGTGTCATCCGCATAGCATAAATGACACTCATGCCCGCGAGAAGGACGCCCCGGAGGAGCCAGTTGAAGCCTAGGTTCCACAAGAGTGGACCGAGCACCGAACCCTGTGGAACCCCGCTGGCTACGCCGCGCCGTTTGAGCTGGCCGTCTCTGTTAACATACAGGACTTCGCGGTCCCGTAAGTAATCGGCCAGCAGCACTCGAAGGTACTGAGGCACTCTGTGATCTTTAAGTGTCTAGAGTATGGTGGAATGAGGGATGGTATTGAAAGCGTTGGCTATATCGAATGATACAGCCAACACACCCTCACCCCTCTCCCTAGCTTCCGCAGTGAGGCTTTTTAGCCTCTGAAGGGCGTCGACGGTCGACCTGTCATGTAAACCAAAGCAGTAATGCCATCGTTACGAAAATGAATTAGGTTCCACAATATCGAAATAAATGACGACTGAATGTGTAAATCAAAATAAGGCGAAGTTTTGAGGTGGTTTGAGTCTTGTTGCATAAAAATAATCTTTAAATATTTTTTTTCATTTTTTTATCGGGAGTGCCTGGGCCCCTGGTCATAGTGGGCCCCTAGGCACTGGCCTAAAGTGCCTTATGGATAATACGGCACTGACAACGAG